TAAAATTGTTATTGTAGAATGAGTATAAGGATCCAGGAGGGGTGGGAGAGGCTGGAAGCAGAAGGAAGTGGATGTGCAGGGGAAAGGGGGGATTAATCAGGTTGTACAATTTGATGGGTGGGGGGAGAGGGAAATTGAAAGAATTTGTTCAAATTTGTATTCTAATTTAGTAAATAAACTAGGAGGGGGGGAAATCACATATGGTAGATTAAAATATTGTAATTAAAATAACTTTTTCTAACAATCTGAGGAAGGTCTGACGGTTCAGTCTATAGGGAGTTGCACTGCTAACCCAAAGTCCAGATCTCTCCGGCAGTTTGAATCGACCAGCACTGCAAAGGGAGGAAGATGAGCAAACTCCCCCTTGAGATTTACATCCTCAAAAACCCACTGGAGGGTCAGCTATGAGTTGTTTCCAACTTGATGACAATTAGATGATGATACAAACTATATGAAGAAAAATACAGTCTCAGAATTGGAAGAAGACTCATCAAGTCTTTGCAATATGCAGATGACACAACTTTATTTGCATAAAATGAAAGAGACTGGCAGTCCTTATTAATGAAGCTCAGAGAAAACAGTATGAATGCCACCATAACAAAAATAAAACAAAATTCTATACAAAACACAAGATAAAAGAAGATTGTATGTGCTTTAATGAAACAATATATATTCATGATTATCTAATAGTGAACACTGGTATAAAAGAATAAATTTTAAAAAATGAAATTCTTCAAATACAACTAGACCAATAAACAACATCCTCATAAGTGGAAAAAAGATTGATGTTGCCAAGGAATTAAGTTTTACTTAGAACCACAATTAATACCCATAGAAACAGCAGATAAAAAGTCCAAGATCCTATCACAATGGGTACATCTGCTGCCAGATACCTCTTTAAAATGCTGGAGAGCAAGATTATCATTTTAAAGACCAAGATGAGTGTGGCCCGTGCTTTGGCCTTTTCAATCACGTCATATGCATGTGAAAATAAATAGAGAAGTTCCTGTATTAGAAAAAAGTGCAGTCATGTACTCCTTAGAAGCAAGGATGCTGAGACTTCATCTTATATACTTTATGCATGTTATGGGAGTGGGGGAGTGGATAAGATCCTGGAGAAGACCATCATGTTTGGAAAAAGTAGAAGGTCAACAAAATAGAGGAAGATCCTCAATAAGACAGACTGACAGAGTGGACGCAATGATGAGCTTCAGCAGAGGTTGTGAGAATGGCACAGGGTAGGGCAGGCTTTCACTCGGTTCACCATAGAGTCTGTGAATCAGAGCCAATGTGATAGCACCTAATAATGATTATAAATGAAATTCACCTCACAAATAATTTGGAAATGTGGGAAAGTAAACAGCATAAAATTAGTATCAGCCCCTAAGTAATAAACACTATTAAAAACAGTATTATCTGTACACATTTGTAATCAAATTGGTCTGCACTATGAATGTGAACTTGGATCCACAGATTATCCGGGAGGCTGGGCTCTATGAGGAGAAATGTGGGGTCAAGATTGGTGGATGATTTATCAACAACCTGCGTTATGCGGATGACACAACCCTGCTTGCTGAAACTGAGGAGGACCTGAAGTGCCTGCTGCAGAGTGTCAAGGACTGCAGCCTACAATATGGATTGAGGCTCAATGTCAAGAAGACAAAGATTCTCACCACTGGACCAATTGGCAGCATCAGGATGGATGGTGAAGAGATTGAGATTGTACACAGCTTTAGTTTGCTTGGCTCCACAGTCAATAGTCTTGGCACCAGCAGCTAGGAAATGAAAAGACATATTGCCATGGGAAAGTCTGCTGTTAGGGACCTCTCCAAAGTACTGAAGAGCAATGGTGTCTCTCCGGAGACTAGGGCACGTCTGATACAGGCTATGGTCTTCGCAATCACTTGTTATGCATCAGAGAGTTGGACAATGACCAAGGAGGATAGAAGGAGAATTGATGCATTTGAGCTGTGGTGCTGGAGAAGAGTATTGAGAATACCATGGACTGCTAGGAAAACAGATTTGTCCTGGAAAGGGTTAAAACGGGTGGCTCCTTGGAGGCAAGGATTCTGAGGTTCCGTCTAACATACTTTGGACATGTTGTGAGGAGGGACCGGTCCCTGGAGAGGGACATCATGCTTGGGATGGTGGAGGGACAGCACAGGAGAGGAAGGCCCTCTATGAGGTGGATTGATTCAGTGACTGGGATAATTGGGATGGGAGTTTCAGAGACAGTGCGATTGGCACAGGACAGAGCGGAGTTTAGGGCTGTTGTACATAGGGTCGCTATGAGTCGCAAGCAACTCGACGGCACATAACAACAACAACAACAACAACATATTTTTTTACATTTTATTAAATAAATGTCAAGAATTTTAAACCATAATTTATTTAACAAAATTTGTGCTTTTAGACCAAGGGGTTCTTTCAAATTACAGTAATAAACTTACAAATAAATGTATTTGTATTTTTTTTAAACTGCTTCTTAGGATAAATTTTTGAAGAACAAAATTACTAAATCAGTGAATACAGACTTCTGAAAAATAATCTAATGGCAGTAAAACTCTTATTGTTTGTGGTTTTAAACTTTAGGACTTTTCTACCAAAGATATGTAGCCAGAAGTAAGCTCAATATTGTGGCCCTTCTTCATTTTGAGGATGTATTTTATTAAAATGGTAGTATGTTGGCAGACTTCTTGTGTTCACAAACATAAATATGCATGTTATAAATATTTCACATTCAGTACATCTACATTAGGGAACGTTGATGGTTACTGGAAAGGAATTGCACTGCCAAGGAAAAGTATATGGTTCAAATTTAGTTGCTTCTCTATAGAAGAAAGGTGGGCTATATCCTCCTGTGTGATTTACTGCCTCTGAAAACCTTCTGGAGGGTCATCTGTGGGTTGGTTGTAACTTGATGGTATACAACAATGATAATAGCCTTATGAGTAAGGAGTTGCGCTGCCAACCCAGAGGCAAGCACTTTGAATCTACCAGCTGTTCCTCAGAAGAAAGATAAGCAAATTCCTGTCTAGCCATTTATAGCCTCTAAGGACCTGCTAGCGCGTCATCTATGGGTCAGTTCTTCATGGCAGTAGGTGAGCATCCTCATTTATTAATAGATATGGTAAATAAAGAACTTTAGTGTGAAAACATGTATGTTTTGCTGCTAATGAAAGCTCAGGGGTTTGAATCCAACAGTTGCTCCTGAGAAGAAAGAGGGGCAATCTCCTTCCATGAAGATTTACAATTTTGGAAAGCTAGTGGAGGGTATCTATGACAAACTTAACTCAGTAGTAGTGGGTTATATTATACATCCAGTTTAAATGAAGAATTAAAAGATTTTCTTTCTCTCTTGCTTCTTTAATGCAACTCTAATTTTCCTGTGTGTACTTCCTTTCTCTTTGCATGAACCTGTCTCCATAGGTCATCTTGTCCTTGCCCTCACAAGAATGCATGAGAGCGATTCCACTTGAATGTTAGCGCTAAGCCTACTGTTAGTTAGTTCAAGCCATATTATGGCATTTAGAACTTTCAGTGCTACCACTAAAGTAACTTGAGAAGAAGGAAGCACAGTTTTGGAACTAGTGTTCTGACTCTATACTTCCTTTTGCACGAAAGTATTCAGTATGGTTAAGAGTGCAGCCTCTGAGTAAGAAGTAAATGAATGTTAGCTCTACTTTCTTGGCCTAGTAAGTGTTTAGTGTTAGGAGCTCATCGTAGTGTCTGTAATAACGGCAGCAATAATTAGACGCAATCGCTCCATTGATCTTGACTATTAAAATATGTAGCTTGACTTTTTAAAACAAAAGACATTCCCATCCCCCACACACACACACACTTTCCTTCATTGACATTATGTTTCATACCCTCATCCTCAGACATTATGTTTTATAAAATTAATCATGTTTGGACTATGCCTACTCTGAAAGACCCAGTCTTTTCAGGTTCCTGCCAGATCTTTCACATTTCTTTTACCCCCTCCCACCACGTACCAAATTGTGCAACCCTGTGATTTTGCCCCTACCCATCCACACCCGTCTGTTCCCACCCTTTCACCCCTTGGACCCCATACATGTTTTACCAGTTAACCTTCTAGTTTTACAATAATGGTCTTATGTAGTATCTGTCCTTATGAGACTGATGGCATTCGAATGGCCAACAGACACATGAAGAAATACTCAGAATCACTGGCAATCAGAGAGATGCAAATCAAAACCACAATGAGGTACCATCTCACCCCAGTAGCAATGGCAAATTTTAGCAGGTCAGCAAGCAAAAAATGCTGGAGAGGATGTGGAGAGATGGGAACTCTCATACATTATTAGTGAGATTGTAAAATGATATAGCTATTCTGGAATACACTTTGGCATTTCCTCAAAGAGTTGAACATAGATACTCCATATGACACAGCTATAACACTACTAGGAATATACCTCGAGGAAACTGGAACCGAGACACAATTGGAGATTTGTACACCAATGTTCAGAGCAGTGTCATTCACAATGTAAGAACACGGAAACAGCCCAGAAGTCCAGCCACAACCAAATGGATTGAGAAATTATGGTACATTCACATGATGGACTACTACATAGCTTGATTTTTTTGAGAGCATGTAAAGGCAAACATAGCTAGGTGAAACAGAATGAAATTAATTCATATTCAAATAAGGATTTCTTCCCCCCCCCCCATCTTGGTTTCTAAGTAATCTAGCCATTTCTCCAGAAAGATCAGCAGCTTTTTAAGTTCTGAAGAAATTGCTTCCATCAAATATTTGGCATTTTAGGAAAACCAAGCAACTAAATTAAAAATTTAATGGGTGAATGAATGAATGAATGCAGATGCATGAACAACTATTGATCCAGGAACTGCTAAAATGGGTCTAGGGAGACCTTATGAAAGACAAGAAAAAGCTACTTCTACTGTTTGATTAGTTGCAAAACCAAATCAAACCTAAGTTTTAACACTGACCTCAAAGAATTTTCTCCTCTTTTCAGCCTGCCTATGTCCCAAGGAAGCCAATCCCAATAACAATCATCAAACAAGGTAATTTGTATATGTCTGGCTAAAAAAACCCAACAGATATATTTTTTAAACTATTATTTGAACTGAAGTGAAATAAGCATAGCACAGATTTCCTCAGTTTTCTGATAGTGCTTTTGCAAAGAAAGTTTGAAGATACCAGTATGATCAAGCAGGTTAGAAGTTTATAAGAATATTCTGGCTCTTGTATAAATTTGCAATGTCTAAAGCAATCATACTGCTAGCTGGTCAACTAATGACCACACATTGAGAAAAAATATTACATTTTTTTAAAAGTCAGTTAAATATATGTGACTTTACTCGGTATCAAAATAGCATGCATGATTCATTGAGAGGATATTTGGATTAATGTAAAGGAAGACTTTTATTTTAGTGATAAGTTTAGAGAAAAACATCCAGTCTCATAAATGATAATTGTATTTCAATACCTGGTAATTTTGGTTTTGATTTC